AGTTCTCCCGGGATATCTAAGCAAACTCCACACATTAATCGTACGGTCTATAACACTTATCTTTGAATATCTCGGATTATCTACAGAGACTCTCATTGCATTTATTGTCGGCAAGCGTCTAGATGCTTCTACTGCCAGCAGACATATATATGCTTCTGCCAGTTAACGGAGAATGACACTCCTTTGCAGTAGTCCGGCACAGCCGACCGTGACGCAGACCGACGCTTATTGGCCAAGCAACGAGAGCGTCTAATAACGACGCTTCACCTTGAACGCTGTCAATGGGGATGGCCCATTTTGAAGCTCGCCAGTGCACGCTACGCCACTCCTTTATTAACTGTTGATTCGATCACCTTACTTGATTTGCTTACACTGCTTGCGGAGTACGCAATGCAGTTTTCACCTGAGACCTTTGTTTACTGGGAAGTTGGCCAGTCAGCTTGCGCGGTTGTAGAAGGTTATCTGTACAGTCAGCGGAAACCACAACAGTCTGGCTGGGTTTAGCTGCGATAAATCATCACGCAAATATCTTTTCTTTACGATTCTGTTGTAGGTATTGATCAGATGACCTAGTCGGATTGTATCTCGCACAATCGAGAAATATTCTAATTATTACTGTTCCCTTGTAAGTTCTCCCGGTATATCTTAAAAAACTCCACACATTGATCGTAACACTTATTTTTGAATGCCTCGGATTATCTACAGAGGCTCACGCTGCTTCTATTGTCGATAAGCGTTTAGATGCTTCTACTGCCAGCAAACATCTCTGTGCTTCTACCAGTTTTTCTTTGAAACTTGTTATCAATCTTCTCCACCCACTATATTCTGACTTCCCGCAAAATCCAACTGTTTCTTCTTTACAAACTCCTGGTCTTGTTTTTTCGTACTGTGTCACGATGGCTTGTTGATCCATCGGAAATCCTCGGTATAATACACAGTAGTTTTCCCGGGTGACATGTTCCATTCGATATTTCGTCTGTTTTTTATGCCTTTATTCTACCTATTTTCCATCAGCTGTCCTAATGTAGCCATTGCTGACGATGTTCACACTCGGATGCATCAGGCCTAAGTTGACTTGACTTGATTCAACTTCCGTGAATTCGAACATTGTTGTAGTTGTGAGTAGGAGACTTTTTCTATAACTGTTGGAATTCTTCGCATTAGCTCCAGGTTAGTTTCCGGCGCGTCCGAAAGAGCGCCAAACGTTTAGTTCATTCTGTTTGGATACATTAATAATGCGCATTCATCACAAACCGACTGTATACCCTCTCGATGCCTGCGGCGTATGACACTACGCCATTAGTAACAGTTATACACCGTCGTGACTTATAAGCTAATAGCTGCAAATCGTGTATCATCCTCGACTGCCATGTAAATTACGAAGTTTGCACAGTACAGCATTGGCTCCTGGAGTCTCAGATTCGTGTACAAAAGCTATGAATGATGTGAAGCGTTAAAAGCTGTACGGGCGAGTAGTTGCGATTGGAAGGTTTTAATGTAATTTCTTGTAGGGTTTTCACGATTGATCAAAGTTATCTGGTTAATTCTTCCAACTTCTGAGCCACAGCTTGCTCTGATGAGTTGCACTCATCGTTCCCACTATCCCCAACAATAGTTTGTGTTCAACTTGTGTATCTTCTTCCATCGCGAATACATCACATAGGGCTTAGCTTTTTTTCTCCTTTAAGTCGCACACCACAAATCAGATGTGAGTACCACCTCTCTCATTGGCCAGCTTTTGGTTCGTTTGACGCTAGTCAGGACTCTGAACGGCCCGAATCTTTTGCTGCTACGTTTCAGACAGAATCCTTGGTTGCTTGTCTAGCTCCTTTTGATCATGTTCACATGAATTCCCCCCTATTTTTATCTCATTTGTGACTATATCGAAACCTAACTCTGGTGCGTCGTTTGTCCTAAATATGATACAGCAAGCAAGAGTGCAACTACTCTCTGCACTCACTCATGTTGCGCTTCTTCCAGGTTAAGCGGTTATTCCATCGCCGTTCTTCAACACCCATCTTACTCCCTTATGCTTCTCTCCAGCGTTGCGTTTCATCCAGCCACGATCATGAAATCTATCGGTCTGTGTGTAGATATCCGTATCGGCGTTGACAAACGTTGTTTTGCAGCTTACTGAGTCAAACCGTCACTATCGGAATGGTGTTTCTCCAGTGTTATGGCACATTACTAGTATTTAACTGGATATTTCAGGCAACCAGGTTCACAAATACATGCATCGAACAATAAGGCAAGTACGAATAAGGTAGCTGGGCTCGCACCCAGAATTTGGGTGAACATTCATGACGTGCCCGTTTGCTTTCGTTAGAGCGCACACATCATAGGGTTTAGTGTACAGTAAGATGCTTTTACTTCTTTCAGTGTTCATTAAGAGCAGTTGAAGACAATGATCCAACGGGGAAATAGCCAATGAAGGATCTATCCAAGAAACAATCATCCTTCAAACTGTGCTGAGGGTGCATATTCGTCAAACGTTACTGTTAGCAGGCATGTCTTCATGTGGCAAAGCAAATTACCAAACCGGACATTGGATCTCTACACAGTCTCTGGAACTTATGTTGCTCGGTGACGTATTCCGGCTGGAAGCGAATACAATAAGGCTCGCAAAAATCTCAGGGCAAAACTACGTGCTAGTCTGAAGAAAGACCGCGAAACCTGGTGGTCTCATCGTGCCTCTGAGATGAAAACAGCCGCTACCGTTGGCAATGATCGTAAGTTATGCTGTCTGATACGGGAAACAGGCAGCAGGAGACCTGGTGTTAGCGAGACCATACACGAAGAGAGTGGGCAACCGATCCACAGCCTGTCAAAACGTTTGGAGCGTTTGGCTGAACACTTTGCAAGGCAATTTAACCAACCTGAGTTATCGGTTTTCTTTTCGGGCATTGAGCGCTCTTCTCCCTGGGCCGTCTCCTTGGACCCGCCCTCACGCGCAGAAGTCGAACGTGAGATCAGGCTGTTGAAAATGCATAAGGCCGCAGGGGCAGATAAAATTCCCCCAACCCTCTTCAAATTCGGAGGACCTGATCTAATAGATGATTTACACGAACTGATAGTGAAACTTTGGGAGCAGGAGACTGTCCCGACAGACTGGAACCGCTCCGTCATTGTCCCAATTTTGAAGGGAAACTCCCGTTTGGAATGCGGCAATCATAGAGGGACCAGTCTGATTTCGATTGCCTCTAAATTGCTTTCCTCTGTCATTCTCCACAGACTGACTGGCACTCGTGAAAGCCAGATTCGTGAAGAGCAAGCCGGATTTCGTCGACGTCGGGGCTACATCGACCACATCTTCACCTTACTTCAGTTGTTGGAGCACCGCCATGTTTCTTGACGACCCACCGTTGTCTTGTTTCTTGACATAAAAGGTGCCTTCGACAGTCGATCGACGTGCCCTTTGGGTCTGTCTGCTGAAGAAAGGTGTGCCTGATAAATATGTAAACATTATCAAAGCGCTGTACGCGCATAGTTCGGGCAGCGTGAGGATTTATGGCAAACTGTCGCCACGCTTCATTATCACCAGCGGTGTGAGACAAGCTTGTCCGCTGTCACCTATCCTCTTTAACTTCGCTATTGATGAAGTCATGGAAACAGCGTTCGCTGGACGCGACCTAGAAGGTGTGGAGCTACTTCCTGGTGAGCGACTTCTTGACTTGGAGTATGCGGAAGATATTGCCCTAATCTGTGACAGCTCCCAAACATGCCAAGCAGCACTGGACCGATTAGCACTGGCTGTCAATCGTTTTGGGCTATGCTTTGCTCCATCGAAATGCAAAGTAGTTCTCCAAGATTGGTAAGGACCCAACCCTGCGCTAACACTTGGTGGTGATCTGCTAGAAGTCGTTCAGGAATTCAAGTACCTGGGCAGCTATATTAGCACCCGTGGGATTGAATATGAGGTTACGGACCGTATAGCAAAAGCTCGAGATGCTTTTGCCAATCTCCGCCACCTGTGGCGCAGACGCGACATTATTCTCGCCCTGAAGGGCAGAGTTTATCACGCAGCCGTCCGTTCAACTCTCCTATATGGCTGTGAAACTTGGCCCATCAGGTCGACAGACATAAAGAGGCTAGTCACATTCTAGCATCGCTCCCTTCGCAGCTTAGCTCATGTCTGGTGGAAGCACTGCGTGAGCAGTGTGTGTTCGGCGTCGCGTATTTGGCGCAGGAAGAGCGAGTGAACCGCTCAGCACCATTATATCACGCACCAGGCTCCGATGGCTGGGCCACGTGTTGCGCATGCCAGCACACTGACTTCCGCGACGTGCATTGTTTGCGCGTTGTGGGTGCGATTGGAAGAGGAAGAGGGGAGGCCAAGCGATGACTTGGTCGAGAGGGATGAAAACCCTCACTTCGAAGTTGGTTTCGGTTGGTGCATCCCGACTGCCTGGCTGGGGTCCTAAGCACGATGAACACGTTTGGTTGGCACACTTGCTGATATGGCTTGGAGCCGGCCCCAATGGCATTTGTGTTGTGAGTTCCTTTGTCAAGCCCCCTCCTGCTTAGCATCCCCCTCCAATCATCATCTCACTCGTTAGACAGAATATAACTCCTTTTGCGGCACCATAGCCAGCTGTTAGCTCTCCGGAACGATGTCCATCCGTTACTGGGGACTCAGCGGGCGTGCCACTGTTTGTTTTCCTTTTCTTATCATTTGTATTTCAGCACAATAGCTGAGGTGTTTTCCACCTGTAGCTAACGTGTATAATGATGATGAATGTTGAGGATGCAATCATGCTAGTTACATTCCATCCGCCGGCAGCGCATGTCCACCGCTTGATGATAAAGCGTCTGCGTTATCGGAATATCATTTCTGCGCTATTACGTCACACCAGAAACACACATTGTGGTTCCTAGTTTAATTAGTGTGATCCACTGATTTCTGGGCCCTCTTCATCAGCTGCTTACCCGTTTCTGTCTGTGTAACTCGATTGCGCTTTTGTCCTCTCACCCCCCAGACCGTTGTCCTGCTCTTCTCTTCAATGTTCCTCCTCATCCTGTCCACGTTGGACAATTACTACTCCTCATTGGCCTGCATGGCACTTGCTCTGGCATGTCTCGGTTTCCACAGCAGTGGAGTACTGCTCAATCCTCAAGATTTGTCCCCATCGCATGGCGGGAAGCTATATGGTATGTTGTGATGCGGCACCTTGTCTACCACGTGTTCATATTTCTATTGGTTTACTCTTTTCTCCCTTGTTTGCTACTTACGATCATCTTGCACTCCCATGAAACATCCAGCCACATACTCCTCATAGCATTATTGTTGTTACATTCCCGTCTCGCACCGTGGGATAGCTCGTCTGTACTTCAGTCGTTGCGAACTTGACCATTCTTCTTTCCACCTTTGGTTCCTTCAAAATTAAAGCCATCCAGTATTCATCACATGTTGAAGACGGATTTCTTACTCTGACACAATACGGCCCTTGGATTATGTAACTGGCGGTAACGACAATAGCAGTAATAATATTACCAGCAATAGAGTGTGCAAACAACTTCATTCATACTTGGAATAGGTCATTTTGTGTAGGTAATTCTGTTCATTTTAATGTGTGAACGAGTCATTTACTCTAAGCATGTCTCAAGACAGTATGCGACACATTGGACTGTATATGTACATGTTTGTATGGAACATTATTCAGGGAGGCAGAACAAACCAAATAAAGCGGAATGAAATTTATCCAGCTTAAAAAGACCTAGTTTAAGTGTAAGTTGGTTTAGCCCAACTTACACTTAAACTAGGTCTTTTTAAGCTGGATAAATTTCATTCCGCTTTATTTGGTTTGTTCTGCCTCCCTGAATAATGTTCTATTAACTGGCCACGTTGCTTACACTAATTGCGCTTATCTTCGGTAATTTTGTTGCGTTTGTAGCATTTTAAGTAACTTGTGGACATTTCTTACTTATCACGGATTTGTTGCTGACCAACTTACTTCATATGGTAATTTAGCGAAGAGTTATGCCACCGTATCTGTATGCATTCTTGGATTTATTTTATTTCAGCTTGTCGTTTAAATTGAATGGCTGTTGTTTGATATCCCTGGTATGGTTGCGCTTGATGTGTATGTTGACAAGGTGCCTACCTGTCTATTACCCACTACATCGTTCATACTGGCTCCAGGAGACAGTTGGTCGTTGCTGGAGGGGACGGGGTGCACGGTTCTTGTGGCCGTGCTAGGCTCAAAGAGCGGTTCCATGCACTCAGTGTGGAGCGGACTACGGTCCAGCCACCGCCTTGTGTGCGGTTGATTCCCCAACTACAGCGTGCTTGTGTTTGCCTGTGAAGGAGTGTGGGCCGGCTCCGTTGATGAAACGTGGTTCCCATCCGCATGCCTCCCGGTCTTATTCCTTCGGGTTTACACTGGATATGGGGTATGTGGTTGGAGCTGTGGGTGGTGCAGGCGCAAGCCATCCATGGTCCCTCTGTAGGCGCAGGCGTCCTGTGGCTTGCCACAGTGACAGGCAAATCCGAAACCGGATGCCGCCAACCATGTATGTATGTGTGCCCCATGCTGAGGCTGATGTTGCATTCTTGATGCTTCTTCACCGCAGTTGGGCTAAACCAACTTACACTTAAACTAGGTCTTTTTAAGCTGGATAAATTTCATTCCGCTTTATTTGGTTTGTTCTGCCTCCCTGAATAATGTTCTATTAACTGGCCACGTTGCTTACACTAATTGCGCTTATCTTCGGTAATTTTGTTGCGTTTGTAGCATTTTAAGTAACTTGTGGACATTTCTTACTTATCACGGATTTGTTGCTGACCAACTTACTTCATATGGTAATTTAGCGAAGAGTTATGCCACCGTATCTGTATGCATTATTGGATTTATTTTATTTCAGCTTGTCGTTTAAATTGAATGGCTGTTGTTTGATATCCCTGGTATGGTTGCGCTTGATGTGTATGTTGACAAGGTGCCTACCTGTCTATTACCCACTACATCGTTCATACTGGCTCCAGGAGACAGTTGGTCGTTGCTGGAGGGGACGGGGTGCACGGTTCTTGTGGCCGTGCTAGGCTCAAAGAGCGGTTCCATGCACTCAGTGTGGAGCGGACTACGGTCCAGCCACCGCCTTGTGTGCGGTTGATTCCCCAACTACAGCGTGCTTGTGTTTGCCTGTGAAGGAGTGTGGGCCGGCTCCGTTGATGAAACGTGGTTCCCATCCGCATGCCTCCCGGTCTTATTCCTTCGGGTTTACACTGGATATGGGGTATGTGGTTGGAGCTGTGGGTGGTGCGGCGCAAGCCATCCATGGTCCCTCTGTAGGCGCAGGCGTCCTGTGGCTTGCCACAGTGACAGGCAAATCCGAAACCGGATGCCGCCAACCATGTATGTATGTGTGCCCCATGCTGAGGCTGATGTTGCACCATGATGCTTCTTCACCGCAGTTGGGCTAAACCAACTTACACTTAAACTAGGTCTTTTTAAGCTGGATAAATTTCATTCCGCTTTATTTGGTTTGTTCTGCCTCCCTGAATAATGTTCTATTAACTGGCCACGTTGCTTACACTAATTGCGCTTATCTTCGGTAATTTTGTTGCGTTTGTAGCATTTTAAGTAACTTGTGGACATTTCTTACTTATCACGGATTTGTTGCTGACCAACTTACTTCATATGGTAATTTAGCGAAGAGTTATGCCATCGTATCTGTATGCATTACTGGATTTATTTTATTTCAGCTTGTCGTTTAAATTGAATGGGTGTTGTTTGATATCCCTGGTATGGTTGCGCTTGATGTGTATGTTGACAAGGTGCCTACCTGTCTATTACCCACTACATCGTTCATACTGGCTCCAGGAGACAGTTGGTCGTTGCTGGAGGGGACGGGGTGCACGGTTCTTGTGGCCGTGCTAGGCTCAAAGAGCGGTTCCATGCACTCAGTGTGGAGCGGACTACGGTCCAGCCACCGCCTTGTGTGCGGTTGATTCCCCAACTACAGCGTGCTTGTGTTTGCCTGTGAAGGAGTGTGGGCCGGCTCCGTTGATGAAACGTGGTTCCCATCCGCATGCCTCCCGGTCTTATTCCTTCGGGTTTACACTGGATATGGGGTATGTGGTTGGAGCTGTGAGTGGTGCGGCGCAAGCCATCCATGGTCCCTCTGTAGGCGCAGGCATCCTGTGGCTTGCCACAGTGACAGGCAAATCCGAAACCGGATGCCACCAACCATGTATGGAACCTGGTAATGTGAGTGTTGTGCATATCCCTGTGCGCATGTTCACCATGCTTGCATGATATGACACTTGTAGTGATTTGGTATGGATGTGATCTCCTTCTCACTGTCCGAAAGGCGACTTGCTGATGGCACACTTCCATTTGACGATAGCACTTTCCTTCTTCCTTACATTGAAACTTTTATCTCTGAGCCTCGGTGGAGGTAATGATTCGTTTCGAATCCTTTACGCTGTCATCCATATGTTCTAGTCTTTTCATCCTCCAAGTGGATCACCAGCAACAAGCCATGCTTGTGAGGCAGAGTTTCATCGCAATCATATTCGATCAGAAAGCTACTGTACATTCAGAAGTGTACTTGGTGACCATTTATTCCTCTCTGGACTCGATGATTGTGCTTGTCTTTCTCGAATCCCATTGCATTGATACCTACGGCTATCTTATCACGAGACAGCTACTCCAACCATTAGGTAACTTCGGCGAACTACCACGGTTGATTGCTGGCTTTGGTATGATGTGGCTGTTCCTCCACTGACTAATTTCTTTGCCAGCGTTCAGAGGACATCGGTGGCTTCCAACACCATGAATTCCATTGCTTAGCCCTCGATTATCTTATGACATTGCGAATCAACCCAGACCCTTATTGACCGCTTGAAACTAGTATCGCTCCCCTATGGGACGGAACGGCCGTCCAGGGATATTTCTGATGCGCGGTTTCTTTCCCATTGAAGCTAGTTGTGACGCATCTGTTTAAAATCTTTCAACACTCACCTACGACTTTCCCTCGCGCAGTTCTGTTGGGAAGATGATGGGAAGAATCTGTGTACATCATCGTTCTACAAGGATGTCTCGATTGATTACGTACACAATATATCGATCGATCGGCAGTAGTATGATCGGTCGTTACCACTGAGGTGATGCGCTTTTGGACAAAATTTCTTTGCATCTCTTTCCAAAGCCAGCTGAGTAGCATTAGGCTTCCAGCCGTCCAACAATCCGCGTTATACAGTGTTGTAACTCAATCAGCGCTGGTTCTGCGGCATCCGAAGTCAAGGTGCTCTAAACAGAGGTCAGTTAAGAATGTGAAGCCACAAAAATCGCTGCATAATATTTATTCTCTGGTACTGTATCATCTTGAATTTGTGTACTTTTTTCGTCCATTGCACTATTTTCCAAAGGGAATCCTAAAATTGCGCGAACCAACATAATTTCATCAGGATCACTTGAACTCCTTTTAGTTCACCTACATCTCTGCACTGGCACGGCTACATGGACGCGATGAGATAGCGAATCTATTTTAGCATTAATTAGTAAACTGCAGCGCTCAAGTTAGTTGTCTCTGATGATGCAGCTTGCACTTTACTCAGACAGGGCAATCTCAAGTCCGCTTTCAGTGGCTAGATGGCGGGTTCCTCAGAAAATCAGAGCAAACTTCGCCTATTCTACATGCTAATAACCTTGATTACGAGCTTCTCTTCATTGCAGTACGCAGCTGGATAAGATTTCAGTTTGTTGAATAGTATTAATCGACGCGAAATTTGTGGCTTTCAACCGGGTACCACGATGATTAATTGATGAATCTTGGGCTCTGTACATCGCCGTAAGTTTCGTGGATTCACAGTTTGATTGCTTCCTTAGTGGTCTCACGAGCAGATGAATAACGGGGCGCCTGCTGACACTCATTGCACGAGCGAATTCTTGGGATGTGGAACAATTTAGTGGTTGACGACGGCCTAACCTGAGCACGGATGTCATGACGCAGAGCTGAGGTATAAGTAGTCTTAAGTTGCACACTAGTTCATTGGGTTGGTACCTACTAGATTGCCCCGTATGCCAAAACCCTCGTGACTTATTCACGGGTATCTACAGACAAAATAAACATTTTCCTCGGTTCGCTTAGGCTCTCGCCATTTGAAATCCGAAATCGGACTAGATCATGTAGCTTGCTTCGCCTTGATCAGGTTTTGCGTGTCGCTATGGACGAAGGGGTTTGCCGCCTCAGCTTATCAAGTATTGCTACCATCCATTCGTTTGCCTATTCCATTCATCCACCCACTGGATCCATATCTATGCGATGCTAGTATACACGGGGACTCAGAATAGCGAGTCATATCTAATGACTACACAGCTGTCATTGACATAGTGCATAAACAACAAAAGTCCCGGGGCACCGTCGTCGCATTGAGATACTGTTACATGACACCACCTACGTTTGGGTGTTAATTGTTGATATCTACACGCGGTCGTTTCCATTTATGTATTTCCAAGTGTAGAAACTCGTCACCTTTAGATTATCAGACTGCTATCGCATATCCGTGTTACACCCAAGTGAAATCGGAACAGCGGCGTATTAGTAGGAAAACTTTAGTAACATGCGTAAAGCGGTACACTCCACTCAGCACATGTGAGCAAGCAAAAGCTGTCTGAGATGATAATCCCATAGACGCAGGAACGAATTCCAAATCGAAGCGAATCAATAGCGGACACTGATTGGTTGATACACAAATACACACGCACTCACGTGCATGCGTTCCCACGCAGCGTTGCTAGTCCTTCCGGTCGATAAATTTGACATGACCAATGACCGTATCAATCCAGGAAAAGGACAGTATAACAGTACAGTATAATGGTTGCTCAGTGAACGAGCTATTTTGTCCCCTGCATGGCAGCATCTTGCAAGTCAGTGGATAGTGTGCGGCGCTACATTATGTGAAATTGCCGTCCATGGCTTCTCCGGGTGTGTGCTGTCTGTCTGACTGAGTTTAGATGTGTTGAATTTATGCTTCTACCATTCTGACTCTCCTACTGCTCCCTTGCATCCCAGTCTTATTCCTTTTGGTCCACATTGGATGCAGTGCCGTGCTGGATACCAGCTCTCCTAGAGTAAGCTATGTTTGCCGGTGGTAGCATGCATACACCTTCGCCAACTGTGTTGTCTGTGTACACTTAACCATATCCTTACTGACTACAATATCATATTGTTATCTCTATCTTATATACTTACTGTTATTCACCGGTTTCGTTCGTCGACTCGTTGTATTTCTCTGCCTCTGTACATCGTTCGCCCCTTACCGACTCATGTTGAGTTCGGAGGGGGAACTGGAGCACAATCACAGTAAATCTTGTAATGCTTCATTACGCAGGCTGTCCACGGGATCTACTTATGTGGTGCATGCTTTGCATTCATTTACCTCTGCGTCACAGACCTCATTGGCTTATCTCATAATCAATTCCTTGCGGTCACATCGTACCTTCACTCCTGCGTTCTTTTCCTCTATTCTCACTTCCACAGGTCTGATGGCAACAATTGGTACTATCCCTGCCTTCTTAGGCGTTTACATCGCCGGTTACCTTCTCGAAGTAACCAATCAGTGGTCCATCGTCTTCTCTCTTACTGCTCTGCTTGGTATCTTCGGCTGGCTTCTCTACACCAAATATGGCTCTTCGGAGCCAATACTGTGATAATCCGTGTGGGCTATGCATATCAATACGTCATATCTTCCTTTCGTTCATCAACTGTTTCTTGAGTTCGGTGCTCGTTTTAGCCTTTATAAGTGTCACTTTTCTTTTCACCTCTCCCATTTTATGAATCCAGGCTGTGTCCAGCTCCTCGGCGCCGATGCTTTTTGATGCTTTTGTTTTTCCCGTCTATCATTTACGTGGCATTCTCGCGGCAGAATTATTACTCCCGGATAACATTTATCTCCACCTATACTAGTGTCTAATCTTCGCGTGCCTCCTGGTTTTCCTTCGTCATCTTTTCCTTTCGGCAGCGTTTTACATGCGGTTTTCTCTATAATATAACAGGGTTTTCTGTGAATATACAGCGCACTTTCTGATATTTTCTTCTTGTTTATTACGACCGTTCCCCATTGGCATTTGTTGTAGTAGCGATTAACGTGTGTCCGGTCAATATGATGTTGCATATTACTGCCGTCCATTGCTTCCCGTTTGTATCTTCTTTTGTGTATTCTTTTCCATTTCTTTTGGCTTCATTTGACTTATTTTCGCACTCAAAGTATCGTTGATCGTCAATCGTGTTACACAGTTGTGGTCTTAGTGGATGTTGCTATCGCCTACGAATTTCATTGCATCCCCTGTCTCAGAGCACCGCTTCCTTCAAAGTTCACAGAAGAAATCACATTACTCCATCGTTTTAGCTTTATATCCGTCATCTGTTCGTGCCCTATTACTCCCACATTTTTCAAGCCAACTTTCTCTTTGGTCCTGCTTATTCAAGCCTTACAGCTCACTATTGACAAGCTGCCTCACAGATAATCTAATGATTGTGCTTCCGGCGTCCAACTAGTTACCTTTTTTCCACTTTTACATATCCATTCCCGACAGGCGTTACAGCGCTGTTCCAGAAACTCAACCATCCACCTTTGGATAGCTTGCCACATGATTGTTCGCTTCGGGGAATACACCTTCTACATCATTTTTTTACTATACGTCTCTTCAGTGTGTTATAAAGGCGCCACATGCGTTCTCTACTTCGGTCGTCATCCATTATGTGTTCTGTGTTCCTCACATTATCTTTCCATGTCAAGTAACTGGGCTGTTCCTGAAATCAGTAGCAGGCCTCCTGCTCGTTGTTTGTCTTTGTATTGCTTAGTTACCCATCTGGCTCTTTTCATCTGTCCATGAACGCCTACCACTGATGCCTACTGGACCGTGATCGAATGGTTCACACTTCTGGCTTCTTATTCACGGATCATCTCCTGCATCGGCCTCGCGTAGCTTTAAAAGCGTTCTGCAGGGCAGATAATCGAAACATACTGCGTCTCCCTTATTTCTTTCCCATCTATTCCGTTTACTGTTCTCCCGAGCCCCATTATTAATCTTTAATTCCCAGCTTCATTAATAGCGCCTGCAATTCTACCATCTGCAGCTATTTTCCCGCATCGGCTACTAAACACCTATCGGCAAATGGCCCTCAATAGACCACACTGCCCCGTTTCCCTGGCGGCGTTCAACGTTCGCGCTCTAAGACAAAGAGGTCAGCTGACTGCATTCCCATGCACTTCGAACATCTTGGGTATTAACGCCTGTTGCGAAACTAGGATCAATGAGTAGACACGAGGTTGTTGAACTAACTGCGTCCGGCTTGTCCTCGCTATTGTTTACGCGCACCCAGAGACGCTGCTACGATAACCACTGGTCAAGCTGGAGTGGGTATCGTCCTCAACTTCAAGCCGAAGTCATCGTTGGTTGATTGGATTTCTGTGAGCAACCGTTCGTGTGCAGCCCGTTTGACGACATCAGCTAAGGTTGATTCACGGAGTAGTACTAGACGCTGTTAATGGTTTCCGCATATGCCCCACTGACTGCAGTTCTGATACTGCCAAGGACACTTTCTACCAGCAACTGAACATGCTGCTTCGCAATCACACCAGTTCAGATTTTGTTGTTATTTCAGGAGATATGCATGCTCAAGTAGGTCGTCTGAGCTCTTCAGAAGCTCAGCACGGTGGTATGTATGGACTTAACTCCGACCGCACTGTCACTGGATATGAGAAAGGTCGATAAAAGCTAGATTTTCGGGTTTTTTGGAGCACCCGCCGTGTGTCTTGGATTGCGACGCGCAATCTCACTAGTGGCGGCGGTTGACTTGGAAGTCAGCCTCTGCCAATACAGTCACTGGGACCGTCACCGAAGTGGAGGGTTTCGGTGTGGCTCTCTCCTATCCCTGCACTCCACGACCGACGGTTTCGTCTTTGTTTGGACTCATCAGGTAGAGAGCTAGGAGTGGAACTCGGGGCATAGTGCTTGGCGGCTATCGCCATGATCACTAGGCCATTGAGTTCCGCGAGCAGTGTTTGACACAGCGGTTAGAAGCAGATTTTCGGGTTTTTTGGAGCACCAGTCGCGTGTCTTGGATTGCGACGCGCAATCTCACTAGTGGCGGCGGTTGACTTGGAAGTCGGCCTCTGCCAATACGCTCACTGGGACCATCACACACGGCGGGTTCTCCAAAAAACCCGAAAATCTGCTTCTAACCGTTGTGTCAAACACTGCTTGCGGAACTCAATGGCCTAGTGATCATGGCGATAGCCGCCAAGCACTATGCCCCGAGTTCCACTCCTAGCTCTCTACCTGATGAGTCTAAACAAAGACGAAACCGTCGGTCGTGGAGTGCAGAGATAGGAGAGAGCCACACCGAAACCCTCCACGTCGATAAAAGCTGTTTGAATCCAGAAGAAAACTCCTGGCTGGCTTTGAGCACATTGTAGTCAGACGGACTATTTGACACGAACTAAGGTGTAGCCTACATGCTAACAACGAAGCCTGGTAGACCAGTCCGGCTCAAAAAATGGAAGAAGCTAGAGCGGTAAACGATTGTCGCTAGCTCTTCCTACTGGTCCCAGGAAACCAGGTGCTGTGTTAGGCAATCAGACGGTGCGGGTGCCTAGATTCATAATACGGCACGCCGTGTGCCCCTTGCTTCCGGAACACTTCCTACTCAGGTGGTGCAGGCTGAGTCACGGTTGGTTAGACTAGAGGTATCGTCAAAGGCCTAGCTCCGAGACGCGATCGCAGCCCTTAATCATTTTCGTGCCGCTGGCCCGGATTCTCTCACACACCCCACTATTTAAGGATGATGGTGAGGTCCTCTACCGAACGTTGACTCCGTGTTCCTGCACGTCTAGAAGAAAGGGATTATCCTAGCTGTGGTATAAATCAGTCATTGTTAAATGTACATGAGGTTCATTTTTACCATTTATGTTAATCCCAAGGTAGTAGCTTAACGCCGGTGGTGATAAAACTACTAACCTTAATTCTCATTCGCCACCTCACTACTAAATTGGAATCCAGGATTAGTGAAGAGCAGGTGGACTTCCGACTAATATGGGACTGTATAGAACATCTATTCACTAGAGCGTCGCCACACATACCGCAGGCCGACAATGGCTGTGTTCCTGGACTTCATAAGTGCGTTCGCTTCAATCGATCCATCCATTCTGTTTGAGCTACTTGTGCGGAAGAGTGTTCCCATGAAATATCTCAACACTTTACGTGCCTTGTGGTCGAACATCACAGTCCGCGTCAGGGTCTCAGGCGTCTTGTCGGATATCCTTCTGACGACAAGTGATATCTTTCAGGGTTGCCCACTGTCCCCATTTTCGCTCACAACCGTCTTGGACTCTGCTGAGTCTTATGATCCGAGCGTTGAGTTGTTGCTTGGTGATAAGCTAGTTTGCTCTTGAGTATGTGGACGAAATTGTCTTGCATTTTAACTATGTTGGAGTGGTCCTTCCATTTGGCCTGCGCTTCACGCCTTCAAGGTGCAGTATTGTTGCAGCCGCTCCAGTCAGTTCTTGACTCCTTGCCCTTTGGTATCGAGGAACTCCAGGTAATGGATCAATTTATTTCCCATGGCAGCTGCATCAACAATTAGGGGCGCATAAGCACCGAAGTCACTTCACATATATCATAAGCTAGAACTGAATCTGCGATATTTGTAACATCAGAAATGGGTTTCTTTCGGTCTAATAGGCCTGTTTACCAGGCCACAATGATAGTCTTTCTACTGTACAAGATTGAAACTTGGCGCTTTCTACCTGAAAGCTTGAAGCGTTTTCACGTCTTTGGTCATGGTTACCTTCAAGGCATTGGTGTCGGATGGCACCAGCGTGCCCACAACTATTATGTGCATAGACTAGTGTTGGTAGTGATAATGAGGCCAATTCTTTAAATCAACAGATAACACTGAATAAGTTGCATTGGCTTGGACACCCGATCACCGCTTACTGAGGAGGGCGTCGTTTGGTTTGCCATTTGTAGCGTGACGCAAGGCTCGAAGTGAACAAAAGTTGACTTGGCAGCTGGAAATTAAGTCACAGACGAGCAAACTCGGTGTTGTCAGTCTGTCTCGTCTTCCATGCTGGAGTCCGCGTGACCCGCCTTGTGCTTGGCTCTAGGCTACAAGGCATGGCTCGCAGTCGACCTAAGTGGCGTGTCTGCTGCTGTCACCTAGTCGGATTTCCTGTTTAGTGTGTTCGGTGCTGTGTTCTCTGCGGCGTATTGGTTGATTATGATGTGGGGCAGTGAAAGTCGCAAGGAAGTTGCTGTTTTATTCATACCGTCTTTGTACGATAGGCAGCTGTTTGTTACTGTATGTTATTGACGAGGCGTATGCGATTTGCCACTGAATGTTTGTCCATTACATCAAGATTTAACCTTAGATCCCTGTTGTATGGCAGCGAAGCTTCTGTTCATATAGCCGCTTTTTATGATGGTAACAGGTTTGGAGCTGGCGTGCGCGCCAACTGTCCCACACACACCCCTTGCAACCGCTGATAATCGAATGACGGCGAATTGTCGGTACGACGTGCTTGCATACTGGTGATACCCAGTGTTATCTATTTGAGGATTAATGACACGAAATAAACCCAACTTTGTTGAGAACGAATTGCACTGGGTGGCTATCTTAGCTGGATTGATGCATATTCCTAATGACTAAGACAACCGTGGCCCAGTTCAGTTCATCCGGATAGTGCTGTTTGGGCTCATGTATTGCAACGCTTGTTTAACTGCGAGTACAACCTTAATGTGTATCCCTCTTTTAGTGACTTGTTTCTTTACGCGATGTTATACCTAGAGTAGATTAGTCGCCAAGCTCAATCTTTAGATTCCGACTCTTGCATTGGAGTTGTTTGCTAGCCTCTAGTCGTACCGTTATTACTACATATCATGTACGGTGCTCCTGTTGACAAACTTGGTTACTCTTTCCTGTTCTCAGACGTTCCCCTCCTTTCGCATATATACATGTTGCTCATCTCTTCGTTATGCATTGGACCCACTTTATTCTTATCTTCTACAGACTGCACTTTCCGTCAAAACCACTGTTGATTGCCCTTGGGGCAGGTGGTCCCAGTCGTTGAGCGATGTGCTTGTTGAAGTTTCCGTCCCCGTGGGCACCAGGGCCAAGGATATCGAATTTCAGCTGACTGCGACCACATTAAGCTGCTCTCATCGCTCCGCTGGCTCTCTCCTGACTGGCATCCTGTTTGGTCGCGTGAAGCCAGACGAGTGCTGTTGGCATTTAGAAGACCAGCAAAAGGTGATTGCGCGTCGCGTCACTTCAGCTTCTCTCATCAAATGTTTACTGTTTTCTCAGGTTATCTTTAACACCAGACTCTCACTTCATCTAATTTTTACTGGCTAGTGGGGTCTCTGTGTGTAGTTAATTCATAAATGACTTGCCTGACTATGGATTTCCTTGAATTTTGCGCCAACGCCGTGGAATACTACTGTGTTCCACAAGCAAGCAAACTTTTGAAAGGGGCATGCCTAAGTGCAGGGAACGCGCTGCGTCTACTGAGGGCATGTCGAGGTTAGTTTAGACTGTAACACACCATCTGTCGCATACCCTCAGTAGCCGCAGCCTGTTCTCTCTGTCGGTTGGCGCGCTTTTTCTCAAGCTCCCTTTCTTTTTGAACACAGTAGTACATAGTTTGTCTCTCCGAGATCGTTTGACACGTGACTGTCTATGATAAACAACGAGAACCGTACAGACTTTTCGCTTATCTGGTCCATGTTCACTTTTCACCAGTTTGTGTCTCACTGTTTACTGGCTCCTAAGCCTATTCATCTTTGATTGAGCTTGCCAGCAGTTTCGAGCCTTCTTCGCTCACAATCGCACACCCCCATGTTCCACATTCCAACGGGTATGACAACGCGAGATATCTGTCATTTACTGTACCTCATGACAGTGGCCATGTTGCTAGTGTGGGTGTTATTTATGCACACTTATCGATTATGCACTAATTTCCATCGACACATACGCCTTTTAACTATTAATGAGTAGAGCGAATTTTGACGAACATTTGTTGGTTCGTCCCAGCAGCTCACAAGCCAGATAGTCTAAATTCAATCCGGAGAAGTACCAGACGATACTTTTGCACTATTGCGCGTCGTCAGCGACGCGCATTCCCTCTCCCCTACAGGTAACCGAACCCATCTTGCACCAACTAACATCCTGAGCCATGGGGAACAGTGTTTTTCCGTATTGGGAATTAGACTATCTGGTCTGTGAGTTGCTGGAATGAACCAGTATGACATGCCATCTGTTGTTTTCAGGCATTCGCTTCGCCGCCTATTTTACTCGCTGTAATTTTATGTTTTCAGGTTTCCATTTGCCTTTCAAAAGCAAACAGTGATCCACACAACTGTTTGTGGCCCTCTCTCATGCTTGATCATTGGTATGCAGATGAGGTCACGCATGACTTGATGGAGCGTCAGCTGACCCTTGAGCGAATGCAGTTAGAAAATCCCGGATTCGATTTCAGCGATGCTGAGATTTCTGGCAATTACCTTGGCGGAGGACCGAAGACTTGCGTGCTGTAATTTGTGTATTGTAATAAAGTCTCTTGAGCACCACCTTTTTTATCGCCTTCCTAATATCCCTTACTAATCAAACTTATTATTTATGTTTCCAGAGTGACCGAAAATCTCTCCTAAATCGACACTTTCTTCACGGTGGTCACCTTGATATCCCGAAGCGTGTTACAACTGAATCTAGTTACCCCAGTTTCAGTCCACCGGTGCACACTTTATCAGGCTCGGAGGTGCGGAGTTTTTACGAGTCTGTTATAGGCAATCCGGCATCGAGTCCCGATCTTGACGAATCTACATCCTCTGGCTCTTGTCCCACTTGTGGTTCCGTGTTGACCTTGAAACATTGTTGGGCGCAGCATTTATGTTCCACCAGTCATCAGCTGGCCGAATTGCTTTCTAAACCGAAACGGCCATCCGCGCTTGTCATTCCTCCGTCAAACGTGGGTTATCAGATGCTTCGTCGCATTGGTTGGTCCGATCCAGCTTTTCACGAACCCAAAGATGCCCATTGCTCTCATCCACCTTCATACACCGATTCCCCACCACCTTCTCAAAACACTGCCGTCGTTCCAATCCGTACTGGGGGATTGGGACCAAAGGGTATGGGTCGCCGAAACCCCATCGCCACAGTTCTGAAACGTGACCGACTTGGCTTCGGCTGGCCTGCACGCAAGGAGGTGCCACGTGTCACCCATTTTGCAGCGCATGACACCAAAGCAATCAAATTACCTTTCAAGCGATCATCAGCCGCGCACCGTCCTCACGTACAGCTCGACAGACAGCTTCCATCTAAAAGACTGAAGCTCGAAAAGGCACAAGAACGTAGACTGCGTGATCAACTGAATCTCAGTGATGAACACTACTCCATTCTTCATGGTTACTGAAATGATTTTACGGATTTTCGCTGCACTTTACCCTATTTCTGCTGCGCACTTCAAAGCAAACTTTCCGATGTTGCGACACAATCAATGTATAATGCGGATTCCCATTCATACTTGTCTCCAAATGTATATATTGTCTGTATTCCCTTACCGGTCGTTGTTCTTTTGCCTTCACCTTGATGATATGCCTACATTTTCCTTACGTACTGGTCTCGTGGCGTCCTGTTGATCAAAGATAATAATGTTGTAAATCAATGGTATCTGAAACTGAATTTAAGTCACCCCCTCAGCTGTGCTGCCTTATTGACTTGGATGCATTTGGCACTACGTTTGAACTGAGGATTCCCAACCGGCACCCATGCGCAATTTGGCTACGAACATGTTGGTATAGCTGTCATGAAATCCTATCCAGGACGACCGTTTTTGCGCAGTACGGGCAGTCCGCTGCGGTAACTGTCAACCTATCCACATGACTGCTACGCTAATTCCTTAGACTCACTCCGCGTAAATTGCTAACTGCCTGTATTACCTCACGTATAATATTGTAAATAGTAGATCCTTAACGTAATGATACACACCCCGACAGATCTGAACCGGTCACAAGTTACAAAGGAAATCCCAACTGAAATTATAGTACTGCTGTACAATATCAAACCTACTTTCTTTCCCATTGCTCTTCCTCCATGAATTTCGATGATAAAAGTAGAACTCGATTTGTCCGATCGCCGACACTGGGTTATAACTATCTCTTTGTTACGCCACACTCTGACGATCTGGTATCACCTCTCCTAGTCGGCCGAACGAATGTGGCTTGGAACTATTTCACGCACGACAAACTAACCGACAAAATTCAAAGTTGCACCATCCATGAGACTTAGGCTCAACGCGGTTACTACGCGCGAGTTGAACGGGCTCCGAGACCGAACGCAATTTCACACGCAACTACCCAATCCCAGAGAACAAAAGACAGGCCTTTCGCTTAGGCACTTTTACCGGTCAGGCTACAGGCGATGACAGCGCAGTCCGGGCGTTTTTTTATACCTCAATTGTTTGCGTAAGCAAACCCTGGAAGCAACTGAATTGGTACTATGCAAATATGCCTACGGAACCGCAGTTGTGACACATCTTTCGGGGACGGCATCTGTTTTATGGTTCGGACGTTTTCGGGGTCATGATGCCGGCCATTAGCATCGAAGACAATCGAAGATACTTGACCGACCGAAGGAACAATTGACATTTATTAGCCCTCAGGTGGAAACCATACTCCTGGATGCGTTCAAAGACAGAGCCCGACGTTCTCGCAGTTTTTCTGGGGTGCGACCAAGAATGAGATCATCCAGTTACGCAGCCGTACCCAGAATGCCAGAAATCATCGCGTCCATCGTCTGCTAAAACAGGGCTGGGGCGTTCTTGACACCAAACTGCAGTCTGGTGTATTGGAGGAGACCGCGGTGTATGTTGATCGTCAGAAACGGTTGCGACTCAGGAGCAACTTTCGATCTGTAGGTAGGCATCTGCCAGGTCGATCTTGGCGAAGCACGTGCCACCACTGAGCATCGTGAACAGGTCGACTGGAGATGGTAGTAGGTAGCAATTTGGTTCCAGCGCAGCATTGAGGCCAGTGGAGAAACAAATAAATAAATACGGAGGGATCCATTCAGTTTCTTGACCACAACGATCGGGATTGTCCAGGCAGAGTAAGACACGGGTACTAGAACACCCATATCTTCTAATCTTTTGAGTTCAGCATCGACCAGTGGTGAGGCTGCGTAAGGAATCGGCCTTTTGGGCAGAATACCGGTTGAGGTCCGCGAGCGAGCTGTAACACGGCGCGCTTACGTGTACAGCTGCCAAGACCATCCTGGAATACTCGAATGATCTGTCTGCTGATGTCTTCGGTTTGGTGAACTGGTACTGCCGGAGATTGTACGTCGCTGCAAATGCCCCAAAGTGGCAGATCGGCCAAGCCAAGGTGATCGAGACCAAGCACGTTGAGCTTCGCTTTTGTGATGTAGAAGATCCCGTCGAATGTGACTCCTCGAAAGGTGACGGAGCACTGCAGCTGCCCAGTTAGCTGCACGCGTCTACCACAGGCGCTGGTGGCGGATTGAAGGGTTGTGTCGATTGGTGGTTTGCCAACGGATCGCCAGAGTTTCTCGGAGATGATCCTGATATCCGAAGCAGTGTCCAACCTCAGTCGAACAGACTGCCCATTGATCGAGACGTCGACGAACTTCCTGCGGTCAGTGTTGACTTGGAAGGTGGCGAGCAAGCTCATGGAGCTCCTAACTGGGCCAGTTTTGGGAGTACGTCTGGATCGTGCCCTCTTCATCTGACTGCCGGTGGGAGCCAGGCCAGGTTTGACCCCCTTGGATTATGCGGAGCTGTGAGTTGGGGGCCAGCCCAGGTTTGGTCCCCTTGTGCGTCGTAGGATTACAGTAGCCATCGCGACGCCCCACCCTACTACAACGCTGGCATTGGTGCTGGCGTAAGTTGCAGTCTCGCTGGAAGTGTCAAGCACAACAGAATCGGCACTAATAGGGTGGGGACTTCGCTCTGTCGGGTTGGGTAGACCGCCCAGAAGATTGCCGCATTGGTGCTGCGACTTCCTGGACCAGACCACGTGCGGGAGAATTCTGCATATTCGCAGAGTCATCTTTCAGATTGATCAGCATTTGACACTCATCGACCAAGTTCTGGAGTGTGATGGTGTTGCGCTGCTGCTACTTTGACAGAAGGCGCGTTCAGACATCAGCATCGTGGCCGGATCGGAGGCCAGAAATTAAAACCATGCACTTGAACTGGTCTTCTGTGAGGGATCCAAGTTGGAATCGTTCGCATTCCCGATTGACGATGCCCGCATACGTGAAGAAATCACCGGCATCCCTCTTGGCCAGCTGCAGACATTGGAACCAGGTGTTGAACAGCGAGTACTGTTTGCCAAGCAACCTGCGGACCGTTTCGACAAAGGTAAGGTCACGGGGGTTCTTTGGCAATATGAGGTTGGTATACCGTTTGCGCAGAAGCAGCCGGACCTTCCACTCGTCATCCTGGCAAGCTAGGTCAACGCTGAATAGTTCATCGTACCGCTTATACCATGAATCGAAGGTGTCATGAACGCTAGGATCGTACAGGAACTCCTAGATACTTCCAGCGATATTGTCAACCGATTAACAGTTTCTAGTGAAACTGGACCGAATGAAAGAACTGGAAAGTTTTTCTGTTAAAACAAAGCTGTTCTTGAAACAGCGACTTAAATTCGTTGTACACAACCTCCAGAATACGAAGCAACCCGTCGCCACCTTGTTATAGCTGCCTCTTGGTTACGTCACACTGACGATCTGGTATCACCTCTCCTAGTCGGCCGAACGAATGTGGCTTGGAACTATTTCACGCACGACAAACTAACCGACAAAATTCAAAGTTGCACCATCCATGAGACTTAGGCTCAACGCGGTTACTACGCGCGAGTTGAACGGGCTCCGAGACCGAACGCAATTTCACACGCAACTACCCAATCCCAGAGAACAAAAGACAGGCCTTTCGCTTAGGCACTTTTACCGGTCAGCCTAAAGGCGATGACAGCGCAGTCCGGGCGTTTTTTTATACCTCAATTGTTTGCGTAAGCAAACCCTGGAAGCAACTGAATTGGTACTATGCAAATATGCCAACAGAACATGTTGAAAAGAGAATGTGGGTAGATATGCGGAGGCTGGACTGAGAAACTGAACGTTTCTTAGGTAAAAAAAAAGCTGAATGTCTTATGGTTGAAGGGAGGTTGACCGGAAACAGGAATGTTTTCTGAGGTACAAAGGCTAATCGAAACGTGAATGTCTCACGAGTTGGAAGGCTAATCGAAACATGTGCACCTGTCTGAATCGAGTCTCACTGCCTTCCGTGGTTTAAGCTTTTGATCATTATGGGGACGTTTGGTCTCCATACATTTATGGTACTCCTGGGTTCTAATATGCATTCCATTAATTATTTTAGTGATTAATGATCTTTTCTTCTAGACTTACAACTATTGTCGACAGAAATTGTAGCATACCCAGAAGATAGCCTTTATCCGATATATGCAATCACATTATTTATCTATTTAACTCTATTCACTCTTTTTTTACTAACTGAATTAATACGGCCATGTTTGACATCAGGTTCACCACTCATCAGATCAGTGAGTTAGAGCATAAATTGTTCCACTGAACTTGGCCTCGATTGGAGCCTTTTCGCTCCGTGGATACACCAGTTGACAGCTCTAGGTGCCGACTCAGTGGCACATGTGCTATTACTTCCTTTGTCCCTCTTGCTTCGCTTCCCTCTCCAACCACCACCTCCTTTCGGACACAGAGTGTAACGATTTTTGCGACACAATAGCCGACTGATAACTCTCCGGCGCGATGTCCATCCGTTCCTGGTGACTCAGCTTCCCTGACTGTGTGGCGTCTCATTTTTCCCTTCATCAAGTATTGCGGCATGATACCTGACATGTAGCTAAAATGCATAATGATAATGACAGTATCCCGCCATGATATCGGATTTATGTATCACATGGACCCAAGGAAGCTGCACATGCATGGGCTTCTAATTCCTATTTTTCTCTCAAAATTCAGCAGCTGTAACTGTTCCCCATGTTATTATACATAATTCCACGGTTATTCATTAATGCGTTTAACACAATAGACGCTTAAACAGATGACATACATATCATTTGCTTTTGTAGTTTTCACCCCAACCGTCCTACGGGACTTCCTACGCGATTGCTTTGTATCCTTAATAAATCATTGATCAACACCAGGTCATGTCCTCATTCCTGCACTGATTCCTACTTTACATTGATTCTCTCAACGTACATGCTTCATACGACTGCGATCAATGGGTAACGTTCACTCCGTGTCTGTGCTTCCTCTACCCTGGGGTGCACTGCGCTTCCGATAAACAATAGTGCCCTGGACAACGAGTTACTACCTAGTTCGGGTACCGTCGTGGAAGATCAAGTTCCCTCA